CTTTTGTTTATTGTCTCGAGCGTTTTAATTGGCCGAATCGGCGTACAAACGTCGAGGAAGTCGATTTCAGTACTTTCTCTTCGTTTACACTCAAGGCGATATCGCGCCCGCTGACGACGTCCGCCGCGGTTAAAAGAGATAAATGCCATTAATGGACTTCAAATGAAACGCCTGCTCTATAGCGGTCAGCACCGTGACGACTGCCAAGAACGGCCCGCGCGGCTCAAAGGGCATCTTACTCATTTACTTCCCGCGCAGCGGGAAATTAAATTCGCGGTTTCTCGACCGCGTTTCCTGTTCGCCGCGCGGCAACACAATCGTACTGATTAATTCATTCGCCGTGGCGCGATGATTAATTACAAATATTTCACAATTATTTGGAAAGGCGACTCGAGGCCTTGGTGTCTCGCTCGGTCGTCGCTTCGATGAGAGACACTCTCGCATGTCGTCTCGATATTATTTGCAGCGTTTCTTTCACGGAGCTAAAATACTCGCACCCTCAGAAAGGATTTCTGTTACCAAGGCCAAAAATATTCTCGACGCACTTATATTTCTCACAACCTCATGTATAAAAATAAGACAATATCAAAATAAAATCAATAATTCTTATTCTCCTCTATCGAATTAAAAAAGATTGGCTTACTGTATTGAGACAAGAGTAACTTATATGAATATAAGTTAATATATTCTTGCGTTTAGAATAAATTTTCCCTCCATCTTACAACGCACGAAGTTGACACCACCAAATTCGACGAAAGATATACATACTATCATTTTATTCTTGATTTTAGAATTTTTCATTTAAGATCAAAATATTCCTTTTGCTATAATAAATATGATTGGCGCTATATCGATCCTATTTTATGATACATTCAAATGTAATAGCATTGGATCCAGAAATTTTTTCTGTGGGTGCATATATCGCGTTGTTGAGCAAATTGCTGTTGTTTTCATCATATTAGGAAAGTTGCCCGAGATCGCCGCCTGCCTCCACGACATTCCGCGCGAGTCCTTCTTCCGGGGTAAGGTACAAGCCTAATTTGCTGCCGTCAAACTTCGCACTGGAAGTCTGACGAACAAACGGATGTCAACGAAGCGCGACGAGTTTATGGTGAAAACGCAGGGCTACCTATCAGACTTGTTAACAAACAACAACGATTAGCCAACGGAAAGTTGGCCGTCGTGCCGTATAGAATATATCGCGACTGTCGTTCGATATAATTGTCGTTAACTACTTTCTTGCTGTGTTTATAATGTTGAGCCGCGAGGGACGATTAACACGCGCATAATTCAATTTCAAATAGTTGCCCCGACATTTTGTTATTCCCACCCGCACCACGGTAATTAATACCGGAGTAAGTCGCGACTTCCAGTCACTCGTCGTTATTGGCATACGTAATCCGCGTTTCTTCGTCGATGCGAGAGAGAGATATTTTTCATCAACTTGTGATTCCTTTTTCCTGGCACTGATTATCGCGAGTGAAGCCAAATCGGCCGGATTCAGGATGCCAATGTCCGGTGTCCGCGACCGGAAACCAGCACGGCGACGAACGGATACGATGAACGATCGGGTTACGGTTAGCCTACTATTTACTTGTATTATGTCACAGACTTGTGAAAAAATCGAATCGCGCCCTTTCTCGCGTCTACGGTTGTACGGCCAATTAGAAATTGCGACCACGGAGTCTGCAGATTTTCCTGCGTGCATTCTGCAATATAAGAGTAGAGTGAAGATAAAATCGCGTGAATTTGTTTTGCTTTTTGAGCGTCAAAGCAAAACAAATTTGTGAAACGTATATGTGCAACATTTTCTCTGGATTCTCCAGAGGGGTTTTTAGTTGTTACTTCTTACTTATCTAGAACAGAGTTCTTGGTTAAAATTATATTCATTATGTCGCTGGCATTCGCGCGGCGAGCTGCCTGTTACCGCGTTTGAGTCCTACATCGCTATTCTTCATTTGCTCTTCTCTTCTCTTTGCCAACCAGGTGCGAAATTATCGTCACGTACACGGTCAATCGACACGTACACTTTGTCTGCTCTCTGGCGTATCGTGTATTTCTGCCAAGAAGGTCACTGTCATAGTATCCTATCCGGATACTTCTGCGCGTTCGTGAACCTTCGCTTCTACGTTAATCATACCCTGTCACACTCTGAGGCAATGATTACCTACAGATGCCTATCGCGCCAATTTCATAGAGAAATTGGTAATGGGGTGTAACATTCTTGAATGATCGGAGAAACGTAAAGGAATTTATACTTTAAGCTGCTTACCGCGCAAGTGACGTTACGCCTTTCTATAACAATATGACAAAGTCAAGTTTGAAAACCGTAAAATGCAAATGACGTTTACATCACGATTTGCATCGCGATCGACTTAATATCCCGTGTCCGCTGCATTTCAAAAAGTTTGCTTATACTACTTTGAAACTGAATAATTCAGTCATTTGCATAACAGCTCTTGCAATTAGTTGTGTATATCTTTAATCTTCGCATGTTTTAAGAGAACGACGGAAATGGTGCATAGAAATAAATTTCAAGAGGCCCAGAGTACAGTGCCAATGGCAACGTAACCTGATAAGGCATAGCATTTATCACTCGTTTAATGCGGTCATTCGCGGTACGCACGCTCGCGGGTTTTCTTTGTGTGAATAATGTGTTACGCGTAATTTCAGTGACGCAAATTTTGACGAACTCTGGGAAGATATTGAAAAAGTGACTCTATACTTCAAGCTGACTTTGCATTTCTCTTCTTCTCGTTCTTTCTTTTGTATAGATCGATTCATTTACGTCACTTGCTGCAGCTATAAAATCGTATTTTATATACAAGTTGATTCTTCAAGCTTTCATCTCCATTTAGAAACGGCATTACTGAGGTCATCTAAAACGAGAATTGTCAATGGGATTCGATTCATAGTTGAAGAGTTACACTGATTTGAAAGTTGAGGAGAAAAATATTGTTTTAGAATTTTTATAAGTAAAAGTTATACATACGTTTTCCGATTATTCAAACATATTTCGCCCTGTTACCAATTTCTCCGTGAAATTGGCGCGATAGGTAATCATTGCCTCGGAGAGTGACAGGATTAATTTTTCGAGTAGAATAAACATTTTAAAATCATAATTTCCTTCTTGAATACCTTTTTTCACAAGCACGCGTAACGTCCCGTAGCTTTCCACACGTTTGTTCTTGATTGCGGTGTCTAGAATACGTGCAGGTAGAGCCCCTCTAATCAAAGTCTGGCCGGAGGACGCTGTGTTGGTCCTCCATTTTTCGTCAATTACGCGTCAGTTTTATACAGGTAAGGCGGTAATTCTTCACTGCCGCTCCCTCATCCTCCTTAGGGTTAAGAAATGTCGTCCCGATGAAGTAGTTTCTGCTTTGCTACCTGAAGAGTGAGATGGCACATACATCTTTCTCTCTCGCAGGTATTTCACGAAACATGGCGGATACTAACCTAACGTAACCTAACCCTTGTTATGGCCAGACTCTGATTAGAGAGTCTCTACGTGCAAATCTGTAATATGCCCTTAATCCAATCCCATATGCAACAGCCTAACGGCGTTAGTTCTGACGGCGAAAAAGAAATTAAAATCTGCAGTTGCTCCGTAACTATTGCGAATCGATCGCAAGTTTATAAGGAAGTTTTACAGGAAGTAGCCCCGGAATATGTTCCATGAGCGAGGGATAAAACTTCGTAAATCACCCTATATAATTACGGCGGAATCTAAAATTCTCGAATTTTCTGTACAGCGATATAATGGGAAGGAGATTATCAGATTGTTGTTGTTTAAATACAGATACTTAAATAATTAGCGTTTCAATGCGGTTTCAGTTTACTCGCACACAGGCAGGTCTTTGGAACAACGCGCCCATCTGAAAAATTCGATACGAGCCGGCGATGCAGAAAGACACGGGGATAGAGCAGCGGAAACCGCGGGCTCGTGATGAAAATGCTACTTCGCGTGTACTTCATCCGCTAGAAAGAATTAATCGGTTCCCGCGATTCGTCCCACGCTTACATGCTATACATACGCCGCGGCAATCCGTTCCGCAAAGCCCTCGCAAATAGGAAAACGTGATTAATCGAGATTCGCTCGGACATGTTTTTTTTTTTCCTGAACCCGCAGACGAAGCGCGCATCTCGAATTACCCGAATCCAGGGGCACGCTCTCGCCAACATGATTTCCCGTGCGAAAATTCAGCACAGTTCTCCGCATCAAATCGCTAGGGGTGGTTCGTCCGAAGTAGAACAAAGAGAAATCGGGCGCGGACATAATGATGAAATCTCTGAATTTTTTTTCTCGTCAAAATTAAGGGAACTGTGTTACGCTGACAGTCCACGATAATGAGTCTTCGTCCACAACAGTCCTTTTTATTCTGCTGCGTGCGAGTGAAGTTATGGCTGCAAACGCAGCCCGATGTATGTGTTGCCTGAAGTAGGTAAGCGAGAGGGATCTCGAGCGTGAGCCTGAATAGTTCAGGTGGAAGAGCATTCCGCCCGGCAGGCGGAAGGTCCAAGGTTCGAATCCTGGTCTAGTCCTAGCCCGTTATATTTTTCGCGTCGAAAATCTTTGTTAGTGCCCACCCCTATTTTTTACTATGGATGTCTTTCTGTTCCCGATATAGATGTTTTACTTTCTCCTATATTATTGCGGACAATTAGACACGTAGCTTTCCAGGATGCAATCAACAGGAAGTCATCAATTTTTGCAAATGGTCGTTGATCTTGATCGATCCACGGTCGAGCGGAACGCTGCGTCCTTTTGACGATGCGTACTCGGGAGTATTTAACGCAGCGCTCTTACGAGTTCGCCGACCGTGAAAATCACCCCCGCCCCCCTCCTCCTCGGCCGAAATCACTTTCCCCCTTCCACGCGTATCGATCCCGACTCGCGTATCAATTCCCCCTTTATCTCTTTCTCGCCCTCCTCCCCTCTCATTCCCATCCCTCAGAGCGCACACGAATTAACGTGCCCTCGTTCTGTTCTCGCATTGCAGGTACAAAGCGAATCGTTGCGTGAGCGGGGGCGGTAGCCGCGGAAACGGGGCGACTGGCGGTACCGGAGGCGGTTCAGGTACTGCAGGCGGCCGCGGCGGCGGCGGGGGCGGTGGTAGCCCCGGTAGGGGCGGCGGCGGCGGCGGCGGCGGCGGCGCCGGTGGAGGAGGAGGAGGAGGTGGAGGAGGTGGAGGAGGCGGCGGCGGCGGCGGCGGCGGCGGCTGCGGCGGCGGCGGCGGCTGCGGCGGCGGGGGAGGAGTAGACAGCGTTGTGGTGCCTGCTGCACCGACTACCGGCCACCACCACCACCATCATCACCATAATCAACACCTCACCACGACTACCACGACTACCACCACCACCACCACCACCTGCAGCACCAGACACCAGAGGCACAAACTGCCTGCCGGCAAGCAGTGCACGGAACACCGTCACCACCCACATCACCACCGGCATCACCCCCATCGCTCCCACCACCGGGGCATGAACATGGGCCAAAAGATTTCAGGTTAGACGACGTGCTACACAGAAACGCAACGTGCGCGGGCCACGTCGAATGTGACAACGGTTCGCGTGGCGAATAGAAATTTTGCGCTCAACCAGTAGAAATTAACTGCCACTCTACCTAGTTAAAGGGAACCTGACGTCAGATTTTGTGGATGTTTATTTCCAAAATATTTCAGCTCTTGTTTACAGAAAATTTCGCTCTTCCAACGAAGATTCGTGTCGCTTTAACAATTCGCTCAATCTGAAATGTTTCCAGATGGTTATCGACTAAGATTGGCATAATTTTAAAATTACAAAAATTGGTTATCGCGCATGTGTGTTAAACACAAATTGGAAGAATAAAGGACTACGAGCCGTGAAAGGGTGTTAGCGTCTAAATATTTTATTCTAAATTTATTGCGAAAAAATATCACCTCGGGAATCAACATTAGACTGTTTATTGCGATGAATATTGCCATGTGCCTCGATGCTCGAATTGGTTGAGACGCCCGCCTAGCGAGAGGGAGGTCCAGGTTCAAACCCTGGCCGAAGTGATATTTTTTCGCAATAAATTTAGAATAAAATATTTAGACACTAACACCCTGTCACGACTCGTAGTCCTTTATTCTTCCAGTTTGTGTTTAAAATTACAGTTAACAAAAGTTTAAGAATTTATCAATACTTCATTATTTTTTATTTCAATAGAAAGGGATGGCAGTAAGAGCCGACGCAAAATGTTAGACGCACACAACAACAGTTTAATACATAATATCAGGATCTTCATAATAGTCAAACGTTTTGATTGACTAATGTGATTCTTTACACTCTGGGGAAAAAAGACAGCAACTCATTTTGGCCCCGCAATTATTTGAATTGTTCGTAACTCTAACCTTTTACGAATTTTACCCCGCGTAACTAAAAATCGCAATTATCACTAATTGAGAGAATTGATTACTTAAAAATCTTGGATATAGATAGAATAGCTAACTATTCTATCTATAGTATATCCAAGATTTTTAAGTAATACTATTTCAATTCTCTCAATTAGCTCTGTCGATATTCAGTAACGCAAAGATAATTTTCACTTAAGAGGTACTGATCGAAATGTTAAGTTGCTTAACTAAAAAACGGTCAAAATTTTTCCCACAGTAAAGTTACGAACAATCCGAATAATTCGATTACTAATTGTGGGCCCCAAAATGAGTTGCTGTCTTCTTTTTCCCAGAGCAATGACATATAACATATAAAAAATATACCAAAATAGACTCCTTATATATAGCAATATAAATAATTAAAACAAATATAAATAAAGAGCGGAAGCTTGAGCACAACTGTTCATTACAACGCAAAACGAATGTCGCTCTTTATTTCTTTTATATTTTAACTTATTACTTTTTATTATCGGACAAATCTGAATGACGTACGAACATACAAATTTTCTTAACGATTGCTGAAAAGTAAATCCACACGAGTTTAAGAATGATATTAGGGATCGGTGATTCGCGATCCTTTTATTAACTGTTAGTTTTTCGTAAGTAAGGAGTAAATTAAGAACAAACCTGTCTTTGTGATAAGATCTACTATATAAATTATTTGCAAATTATTACATTTGCTTATTCTCGATGGTCAATTATCACGAATAGATTTTGCCCGCAAACGGGTTGTAATAACTAGAAAGTTCTTTGGATCAACTCACCTCACGAAGCGTTCGTCGAGGGTCAAGGTCCTTGACCGCGCCTCACTTTTCCTGCTCGGGTGCTTGGAAACAGGTCCTTTGCTCGATTGCTGCTTTACTGTCGACTGCGAGACGGACCAACCTTTCTTATAACTCCGAAATATCTTCGGCTACCTAAACCCACAATTATTCTAGACTAACATTTTTATTACGATAATGTGAATTTTTAGACGAGATCTGATCGCGAGGATAGCTTATGTACAAAAGAAAACGAGGAAAGAAAACTATCTCTATAAATTAATTTACGTGGAATACATATATGAAAATATAGAAGTTATAACAGTATGTATAGTATTAAAAAACAAAATATAGTATTGAAAATTAACAAATTTTTTAACTTTTAATTTTTACTTAACGTGGTTTTATTCAGTTAAGTACACATACAAAATGGAGTTATATCTCTGAAACAAAATACACATATTGTGGGCTTTTTTTTAATGAAAAGGTTGGTTTGGCAAGAACGAGAAGGATTTTGATTAAGTTTGAGAATTAATATAAACTAAAAGATACAGATTAAAAAGAGTCTCTCCCCTAGTAGCACAGTGCACTGGCCAAACGTTGGTTAAACATTGGCCCAATACAACTAAATATTGGGCTAATGTTTTACTTAATACACTGTGCTACTATATAGGGTCGACACTCATTATCTACACTATCACTATCACAATTAGCGCGATTCTCTTTCTCACACGCACCTCTGCTCGCTTTTTTCTCTCGCACACGACTCCCCCCGAGTTCCTCTCTCACAACTTAGCCGTCGCCCGAGCAATGATCGGTTGTCAAACTCCACATTCTACGTTAGCTGCGTTCGGTGTTGCAAATCCGAGGCGTCGGAGTGCGCTTTTAAGGGTGTATTTTCACCTGATGCTATGACGCTAGATTTTTCAGCGTCAACAGACGCTAGCGTCAAAAGAGCCTGGTATCCAAGTATGAGCGTCAGTGCACTACATTGCGTCGAGATTAGGTTAACTAATCTTAACTTTGTTTGAAGAAATGTCATTTAATCAAAGATATTACGAGTAGCAAACAAAATATTTAAAAGTAATAAATTTAAAAAGAAGAGAAAAGAATAAAAAACCGTCTAATGGTATGTGTGGCAGTGATTAATGAGTTGAAAAAAAATGACAGAAAAGACAATATACCAAAAAACGTTATTGGGTTGCACCGTTATTTGAAAATAGAAAATTGCATGGTTTTTATCATGCGATATTTCCCAATATTGTTTTAGAAGACAGCACGTGTAGTGTGATAGTGATAGTTTAGTTTGATAGTGAAATCGCAGCCGTTCGAGTGAGCGAAAGAGGAGAATGAGATAGAAGAGGAGGAAGAGCACTCCGACGCCTCGGATTCACAATGCCGAACGCAGCTAATATGTATAGCTTAATTTGAAGATTGAATATGCAATCGACAAAATGTTAACGATTCGCGCTAAAAATCTTTTTTTTTTTTGTCAACTATATCTATATCTCATTTTTATTTTGAGTCACTCTTTAAATCTTTAATTTTTTATATACTCGTTGGGTTGAGTTACACTCTATTGCTCACCATTCATTACACACTGTCGATTCAGTATGTACTTCTTGAAATGTATAACACTTCTTGAAAAACTGCAGAATTCCTTGATTTCTTCACTATTTTTGTTCACAGCGAAAATTTCTTAAAAAATTTAAAAAAACAGCAAGTTACAAATAATAATTGTTCATATCCGACATGATTTTTCTCTTTATCCATACCAAGACAGAATCAATCTGTGACGCTGCTGTAGTTGCGAAATTCATATCTGAGTTCGCATTGTGCTAAACATGAACTGGTACAGCTTCTAAATTGCCAAGGGTACGGAAAGAAATTTCGATGCGGATATTGAAGTAGAGAGGGCACTGGAAAGGGAAACTCGTTTGTCCCATGCGTATTATAGTTGCCATGCAGCATTTCCTATTGACTGCTGTCCCTCGCCTTTTCAGCGAGCGACCCTAGGAGACCTTGGCCGGTCCTAGGAGCCCTGAGCGCGGCGTGGCAGTAAAAGCAAATAAACCTAACGCCTAAAAATACTATCATGGGTCAACCTTCCAGAACCTTCTGTCGAACCTACCATTATTTCATCTAACCATTGCTCTTAATCTCACGGTTCGACGACCTTTCCTTTTTTGGCAACATTCTGTCACACACCTAGCCAGGTATCCAGCCGTGACTGTATACCGCTTTTATCTGAATTACAAGATGAGAATTCCAAGATATGCCCGAATGAAACGGAGTCTCGTCTAGCCAATATCTTTTTAACGATGCTATTATTTTCACATTGGCAGATATACCGAGCTACCTTGCCGTACCCAAAATCTATTGATTCACACAAAATGTATGGGACACATCTCCTCTTAAAACTTTTTCTCGGCAACATTTTGACTCGCTACACTTTTATTTCTATATATATAGTGATAGACAGAATGGTTACGACACTTTTTTTAATGAGTTTAGAAACGTGCATTTAGATTCAGATATATGTTCCGAAACATTTTCTACGAGGAAAATTTTACTGAAAAAATAGGTTAGAAACGTCCACACTGACAAAAAATTTTGTTAAACAAAGTAAATAGATTTACTTAAAATTACTTTTTCCTACTAAAGTCAATATTTAATCTATTTAAATAAAAATATCAAATTTCAAGTAAATCTATGTATTATATTAAGTAAATTAATTTAAATTACATTTTCTACATTCCATAGACACAATATATCATAAATGTAATAATTACAATCATATGTCTATGCTACATTTAAATAAAGATTTTAGGAGATATAAAATACTATTTAGTAAATGAAATACTTGTTTTTGTCAAATAAGAAATCCAATGTTCTTCGCTGCAAAATTTACATCTTAGTAAACATTTTATAGAATTAAAATAAAATTTGTTAATTCAAAATTATCTACTCTTTGATAAATACTTAAATTAAAGAAATGTACGTTTTAATTTGCTTATTATTTTTAAATTTAAGTTAATCAGCTATTAGGAGCCACCTGATGAATAATTTTCTTGAGTAAAGTAATTTTTTTTTATTAAGATATTTTTTTATCAGTGCAGTAAATTCTTTCGAATTGGTCATCAAGTAAAATATTCCTCGACGAAGAAGATTCAAGAACGTAATCCTGAATCTAAATGCACGTTCCTAGAGACCTTGTAATCAGAGACGATCTACGATCTACGATCGTAGAAGAATGAAATAGCCTATGTTTCTCTCTCACTCGCGGGAATTTGACGAACTCTTATGGTCAGCCTCTGATTACAGGGTCTCTACACGTTCCTAAACTCATTTAAAAAAAGTGTCGCAACCATCATGTCCATCACTGTACGTTACTGACACTTTTCTCAACATCCGGTGAACAACAAAGATAATACTTTTGTCAACTTGTCGATAAATAAAAAACACTGTTTTCTACAAAATTGCTTGTGAGAGTTAAAATGTCTAAAATAAATATCTAATAAAATATAAACCTACTAAATTCAAAATTAATATTAATTTAAAATTGACTGTACTTGTACAACAATGTTCAATCCACATCGAGTGTGTTTTAAGAAGAACGAAGATGAAAATTTGTTAGACGATTCAAAAATAAGGATAAGAAAAATTAAGTACGGAAGTTTTTCATTACAATGACTTAAGTCAATTGGACCCAGTTCAACAATGTTAGCTTAACTAGTTATTAAGGAGCGATGCCAATCACTGAAACAAAATTCGCTAAGCTATTTACAAGGTTAAATTTTGTCAAGTTGCATTTTCGCAAATAATAAGCTTAAAAAACTTATATATATACATATATATTGATATTATATATATATAATCTTGTAAATCTTGTAAAAAAACTTACCGAGTTTTGTTTCAGTGGTTGGCATTAAGTTAAAAACTAGTAAAGCTAACTGGTGACTGTCGAACCTTAGGATCGTCGAACCTTAGGATCGTCGAACCATAGGCATAGGCATAACCGTAGGCATACTATGTCTATGACCATAGGTCGTGCGATGTCCATCTTCCCTTTTATACCTGCGGTTGCTGCCAACCGAAGGGCAACAAAAATGAATTTACCAAATGTCGTCCTATGTTCATGCAGTAAAATTTCTCACATAAGCTTCTTGTGTATTCAACTAGATTTATAGCTTAAAATAACCATTAATAATCTTCTTTACAAAAAAAAAAACGGAAATATAATTGCTTTTCTCGATTATTTCGGCTGCCACGTATAATTACTCCACACGACGAACTAATCGCGAGTCTTGACGACTAAGCATCTCGACCGATCGAAAATTGAAATTCCACAAACATCGAATAGGGATAATCGATTTCTAAAAATCGAGTTTGATCCCCTATCTCCTAAAAACGCAGCTACGTCTATATGTGCATCCACACGTTGTAATGATTACGAGTGTACAAAATCAACTTCGCGCATATTTTATCAGATATTACATTCTATCGAGAAATCCGATAGCGACTCCAGACAAGTATAAGTATAGTGAGAAGTGTACATGTAGCGTGCATCTTTACGAGTACGCACGTTGAGAGGCTAATACTAACCAAATAAGGCCATCTTTTTTTTCACGCGTGTGTGCAGCGAAGACTGTATATCATATTCATTTTTGTGTGTGTTGTGTAAGGATTTGCATAAGGACAAGGAATCGTAACACTCAAGATGCTATATCACATAAGTTTGGGCCTCTTGATCCAACGAATTGTTAACGAGAATTATTCGTGCACGAGTGAAATGATAGCTCGGGAACTAAACATCGAAAACAGTTTAGCTGAAGATATCATCCGTGTCGTGTTGAGAAAAGAGGAAAAATTCGGAAGATTAGTTCCTCAATCGTTAACGTCGGAGCAACGACAACTGCGGATTGAAGTTTCTCAAAATGTACTCGACTACATCAACGAGAACGAAATGTTTCTCGATAGAATAATTACGGCCGACCATTTTTGGTTCTATCAATACACACCGGTTACGCGCCGAGTTGCGAACGAAGTAAAAGTGACAATATCCAAAATCAAGACGCTGTTGGTGATTTTTCTCGACTCGGATGGTTCGATTCATCACGAATTTGTCCCGTCTGATGTCACATTGACTCCCGACTACTACCTGGGGATACTCAATCGTCTTTTAGAAAGAATCAGGGTCACCCGACCGCTGCGTTTCCGCAAATGGGATTTTTATCTCCTGCTCAGCAACTCACCAGTGCATTCCTCGACAACCGTGCGCCAGTTTTTGACCAGTACACAGATAACGGTGCTCCAAAATCCCCCGCACTCGCCAGATTTGAATCCGGCGACTAGAATACTCTTAAACTTAAGGCAACAAATGGAGGTAGATCGGTATTGCACCGTCGAGGGTATGCAGTCATCCATGACGATAAAATTGCAGACTATTCCTCGGGAGTACTACTATTCAAGCTTCCAAATGTTGAAAGACATTTCGTTATCGTGCATCAACGACTCTGGAAACTATAGACTGTAATGGGTTATTAGAATTAAATTTAAATTTATATAAATAAATCGCGACTTATTGCCTAATATTGCATAACATTGCCTAATATACTTAAGAGAATGAACAACTAAAATTATTTTACATATTGTATTGCCTAAAGTATTGCCTAAAGAATAGTAGAATTATTTTACATATATTCCGCATTATACAATATTTAATTAGAAACTAAGTCCTTCACTTATTGTTAGTACAATAACTTGAATAGTAACGAGGTTATTATATATATATTATAATTAGATTAGTATCAATATCTATGAACATTTCGACTGTATTTAGTTTTCTTCAACGTAATTAATTACTACAACAATATGTCAATAATAATATATTTTTTAATTAAGAATATAAATTTATAAGGCATGTAAAGAGCAAAAATTTTTATTGTTACTTGTAATGCAAGAACGAGGCCTTTTGTCCAAACAATGTGGTCCAGTATATAACCGTATTTTTACTAGTAAGTGTCATCGTATGTCACATTAGTAGGTGTGAATAATTGCGGTCCTTTTATAAAAGATTTTCTACATATGATTAAATTAATTTAATTAGATTTGCTTAAATACTTAAATAAGTACTAAAAATTTAATTAAATAAGACAAGTAACGAGGTTATATATATATTATAATTAGATTAGTATCAATCTAAGCTTCGGTCTTACATCTTCAACGTATCATAACTGGCTGAGCCATGGCAAGAGGAGAAATTGATTACCCAATAAACATTATAGCATGTGAATAATTTTACTGTTGTGTTTTTAGAACAGTTAATAGGTCCAAATAAGAGGAAAAGTTCCAAAAGTTCGGTATCTCTCTCTCTGAGTTCAGTCCATTTGTCTGTTCCTTGACATGAATCATTTCACTGATTAATCTCTTATTTAAATGTGGTTCTGTATCTCAAATCTTTGCGTTTTCCCAGTCGAAATTGTGGTTTGATATTATAATATGTTGCATTAAAACTGAATGTTGGGACGATTCTATTTTTTATTGTTAATGTGTTCTTTGATTCTAGTTTTTAGTTTCTTCTTAGTTTGTCCTACATATAACGCATCGCAATTATTATAATTTATCTTGGAGACGACATTTTCAGACATAGTTGCTGTATTATCTTTGTGGGTTCTAATAAATCGTGATAACTTATTTAGTAACCGAAATCCGCGCGATACCGAAGATCCATCATAATACGAGCCTACTGTTTTTCGTTATTGATTTTAGAAAAGGAAATATTAAATATTTTTTATTGTTCTTATCTTTGTCTAGAGACTTATCATTATTTGTACTTCTATTGTTCATTGATTTAATTCTATTATTTATTTCTTTGAAAATCAATTGAATGGGGCATAATAATATAATGGGGTATATAAAATTTATGATTCTCAATTTTTAATGAAGTCAATCTCGTAACCTTTTAGACTGACCGTATGGATGGGACATAATTTCTTCGTACAATATCCCTAATTTTGTAGAAAATCCATTTTCAAAATCTACACCGAACGTGTATCGTTCGTTTATCTTTTTCTGTTATTTGGCTGGCTGCAGCAGATGCGTCACCCACACAAGCGCTCAAAGTCAATCAGGCTAGCGTGTTTTTTTTCCATTACTGCCTTTCCATATCGCGATAAGCTTGATAAAAACGAATAACTCAAATATACTACAACGAAGTTGTGAAACTAATACAAGTCAAATCATACTAACGATAGTATTTACAAACATGTACGGAAATGATAGTTCAGATAGGACGGTATGCTCTCAACCATGCACGATGGCTTCGAGAGTTAACACTCCCAAAAACAGTGACTTTTATATGAGTATTTTGTTACTTGTTTCCGACCTGCCTTTATATACATAAAGCAGCGTTTTATCGCGAAGTGATAACGTCGTGAAAACATTTCAAATATAGTCTGTTCTGTGGCGAATTTGCGGCCGTTGCATACTGGGTGCACACTTTAAAGGTTTCTGTGTTGGTCACCTTATTTGTATTTCAAAAATGTTGGACTTGTACACTTGGATAACCGTAAAGGCTTTCGCGCGTACATCGTAGCGCTATAAAACGTAGATGATACAACTCGATACAACCACCTAAGGTCTGTTTCGAAAACGAGCGTAAGCATCCCGATCGGGACTGATTCACTTTTCGCTTTTCCAGGCGGCGTGAAGAGCATGAGCCGGGAGAGCGGTGCCGGAGCCGGCGGCGGGGTCGGTGTTGGCGGTGGCAACAACACGACGTACACACGATCGGTGATACCACGCGAATTGGCCCAGGACTTCGCGAGGCCACCGCGCCTCGACGTACTCCTCGACATGCCATCCGCCTCGCGAGAGACACAAGTTCATCACAGCTGGAACGCCGAAGACCGTAGTCTAAATATATTTGTCAAGGTACTGATTACAAAAAGTAATCGAAATCGACTCTTAACACGTTACTCGCTCAGCAAGTTTTGCAGATCTTACGCCACATTAAAATTTTTGTCATCGGCATACAATAATAGCACATATATATGATAATAAAATTGCGTAATATGATTAAATAACACTTATAAGTATTGCCTAGCGCACTCTTTACTTTGTATTGTTATCTCGCTACTTCTGTCATTTACAATTTTACAATCCCAGCAAACACAGAACATTGGCAGCAACGTTACAGCAATGTTGTAACATTACATGTTGTAACGGTGTCGCAACGTTGTTGCAATGTTCTGTGTTCGCTGGGAATTAGATGTTATTTATTTCTCTGTTTTAAAAAATTTGGAGAACGTTGATCACCATTGATCATCAGAGTGCTATTGAAACTTCAAATGCCAATCATGACCAATACAGGAATCAACGTGTTGAGGAAAGTACATGAGTAAACTCTCTCAAGTATATGTGACTTTATAATATATAAATTATCTTCGGACATGTATCAGATATATTTCTCGTTAATACGGAACTATCCTAAAATTCTATAAACTTGACTCTCTTTTCAGTAATGACAAAAGTGTAAAGTACATGGAGAGAATTTTCTCTCAAAATTTATCCTGAAGATCATATAAGAATTTTATGAGAGTTTTTGAAATTTTACCATACTTTTTACTAGTAATCACACTTAGTATACATTTTACTAGTAAAATGTGTGGTAAAATTTCCAAAAACTCTCATAAAGTTCTTCAAAATGCCATATTGTCGCACGCATGATGTTCAGGGCAAATTTTAAAAGAAAATTCTCTCCGTTACATACTCCTAAAATTTTCCTCTCCTTTTTATCGTATTATATAATTTGTTTGAATCTGAACTATCAAAAAAATGTTCGGCATATAATTTCTTATCATTAATACCATCTATGAAATCATTTACTTCATCCGCTTAGCAGTTTCAAGTTTGTAAGGTGTGTTCCAGATTAGAATTTCGACGAGCTAACCATCTCACTAAACTGTGTTCATTACTTTTTCCTAGGAGGACGATAAGTTAACGTTTCATCGACATCCTGTCGCGCAAAGTACGGATTGCATACGAGGGAAGGTGGGGTACACTAAAGGTATGCACGTATGGGAGCTTACTTGGAGCACGAGGCAACGAGGTACGCATGCCGTGGTAGGAGTCGCGACGGCGGATGCACCTCTTCATAGTGTCGGCTATCAGAGTTTAGTAGGCAACAACGAACTCAGTTGGGGTTGGGATCTTGGTAGAAACAAACTCTATCACGACTCAAGAAACAACAATGGCGTCACGTACCCAGCTCTCCTCAAGTCCGACGAGACATTCATTGTTCCTGACAAATTTCATGGTGAGTGATTTCTGCGCAATTGCGCGATTTTGCACAAGAATTTATGAATTATCATGCAAGATGTATCGCAAGCCAGGAGATAGCTTTTCTTTACGTATATCATAAACTTATCGCGATTTCTCTCCACAGTTGTCCTCGATATGGACGAGGGTACGTTAGCATTCGTTGTGGATGGTCAGTATCTTGGAGTAGCGTTTAGAGGGCTCAAAGGAAGGAAACTGCATCCTATTGTATCCGCCGTCTGGGGACATTGCGAGATCACAATGAGATACGTCGGCGGACTTGATCGTAAGTGGATGATTATTCTATAAATATTTAGCGTCTAGTCGTACGAAGATAGTTTTAATTTTCAAAATCAAAGGACCCATGAAAATGGGCCCCGGCGAAAATGGCTGAATTTTAAATATGTTGTATCTTTTTGGTCACTGAACAAATGTTTCCTCAGGCAAAATATTTAAAAATGGACAGTTTTGTCGTTTCAACCCTTCAAAAGTCTGAGATCAAACTAGCAAAATCTTGCTTTCGGATCAATGCGGTAACTACAATATTATAAAAGAACTATATGAATTTTTAGTAAAGCAAATAGTTAAAAAATAATTTGTTTATGACATTATTGTTTAAACAATTTGAAAATGTCATTGGTTACAAGAACGGATTACTCTTCTGTGAGAAAAATCATAACGGATAGCGTTTTCCTATATAACGCATTATTTGTTTTAAAATAAACAATAAGCAAATAGCTGATAGTAAAACCCTGTTAAACAGAAACATTGATATTGAGTATTTTTATTACACCATATTTAAAATTCAGCCATTTTCACCGGGATCCATTTTCATGGGATTTAGTACGGGGTCCTTTCTCAGACCATTCTTAAAGTTTTGATTTAATAAACATTTATTACATTCTTAAAAGGAACAAGCGACCAAAACACATAGTATCTATTAAATTTGCCGCGGTGTTCTCTTTTAATTAAACTTGTCTTCTTCACAGCTGAACCTCTGCCTCTCATGGATCTCTGTCGAAGAGTGATTCGGCAGCGAATCGGCAAACATAGACTAGAAGAGAAGATCAACGAGCTGAATCTACCACAGACGATGAAAACTTATCTTCTGTACCGGGACAGAAGGTAACCACTGAGTGAATCTCCTCAAGATGCCACCACGATTATGACTGCAAATATCACCGTGCTGAAACGTTGCCACTACGACGCACAGGCGACCGTCCGCTATCCCTTTTCACGCCACCAAGGACAGCAACCCCTTAGCCGCGCGTCTCCGTCAATGAAGCGCATGATGTTCAACAGACTGACATGCATCATGCGACGACGCGTCGAGTCATGCCTAGTACCTCGAGAAGGCGCGCTGAGAGAGCGACGCCGAAATACCGTGTTGATAACGACTCGTGGCGCCCTTATTAGGACAAGCCACGACGACCGCAATCCCCATCGTCGTTACTGCCATCATCGATAAGTTCAATTCGATGGTGGCAGGGTTGAGAAACAAAATGGAAGAAGAGACTTTAACGAGATTTAGAAAGAGACATTTCTAAATTTAGTTATTTTTAATTAGCGTTGTTTTATGTTGCTTATTGTTGTCTTATGTTACTCGTACTTCTAACTCGGAATAGAGAATTATTCTTTGTTGATTATTAGAGAAAGTTGTACCGAGGCGACCAATTTCGGTATTTTCATATGGACAAACATCTATGCGCATATATGACTCTTTTTTTTATTATTCGATTTAGTGACGATGCGTGTAAATGATGAATAGAATTGTGCCAGACGATGGCAATACGGTACGATAATTTGCGCGATTTCGGAGACGCGTGGTTAAAGCTGGAAGGCAAAAGATTATGCGAAAACACGAAGAAACTACAACGCTTCGCAGTTGGCCAGTAAAAAAAATTAGACTTAATCAAGCCTGGAGGCTGATACGGATGTGTCGCTTGCTTACAACGGTTGATTGATAGTGGATAGCGCTGCTGGCTCCTTAGTCCGGCCACAGCAGAAAAATGGTGGAGCAGCAAGAGGGAGAAAAAGCGAAGAGAGAAGACATAAGATGAGAAAGTTTTCTACGACGAGAAACTAGACTCGGCGAGAAATGTGACCTCGATCGCACAACTATGAAACGATTAATTCAATTTGGAACATTTTGTATAATAATGAATATCGAGCCACCTTCCAATGAACTCATTTTTCAAGTATTTTCTAAGCATGCTAGATTTAATAAAGTGCGCTATGGATATAAAACAAAACCAGAGACGACGAGGAAGGTACGAGGAAGGAAGAACAAATATAACCCTGCCATAATATTCTCTTTAGCAGTGTTCGAAAAACATACACATTACAATTGCGAATTCTGCAGTGGGGAAAGAGAGACCGAGTGGAGAATGCGAAGAAAAATCATCTGAAACTCGCTCTGTGTTTGAATCGGGTAAAAGACATCCGAGTAAAAACTAAGGACGAAAAAACTATTACTAAAATTAATTATCTACATCTAATTGATTTAAAAAATAGTACGTATTTAACTAATGTTTAAGAGAAGCGAAGAACACACACGGGCATTGGCACAAATTATTCCAAACGTGAATTAAAAAACTGTCAGGGAGAGCCGCTATGTAGCACAATATAATCCGGTAAAAGGGTGTGACGAGTAACAGCGACACATCGGGTGACACGTATCACGGATTTACTCATCATAACGATTATCGGATTATCGATCTTAATAGTTACAATGACGACGATGAACAATGCTGCTAAGTATACCGGATGTGTAACTATTATACTATTAGCATGACAAATTTTACGACTGGTCTCTAGTATCTCTTTACTCTTACGTTTGTCGCTTAGGTTTAAAGACTTACGCCACCGTCAACGGCTATGTCGATTTGTATATAGATAATATTGATAATATTGTACGACGACGTATACATGTGCATTGTGGACGACGATTGTATCCGTAGCTGCGGAATCAGGCGGACCGAATGTGAGAGAGTGGCATATACCATCTTCATCGTTTCACACAAAACAAAGCGATCATCATCTCGCGTCGTCAGACCTCCATTTCGGTATATCTTGCTTTCTGACGCGCGGCTTCGAAATCATCTCGATTATTAATCGGTGATGCCATTGTTTGCATCGGCTTAAGCTCGTCCGAGATCTTGGATCGTATCGCGTCTTCCAAAATTATCGTCAACTGTTCGCAATCTATCAGACTGTTCTGAGTCTTGTTGAGAAACGTAAGTCGCACTTAGCTCTCGCACTTGTGCCGATTACGTTTCTTGGTGCAATTCCCTTGTGATGATCCGTTCGAATGAGCTCGCTGTTCGTCCACTGGACCACATTCCAACGGTCATCGCAAAGCAGATTGCGAGACACGATCAATCTCGCGTCACATCCCAGGACATTTTCAAAAAGCGCCGCACGATATCGCGGAACTTTCTCGCGTGTCGCACAGCTCTGCTGGCTCTCCAACACCCGGGAGCGTGATCAGCGACGTTTGCCTTCGCTACTTCTCGTCGCGGAATACACAGAGAAAGCACACGAATCTACGACGCGAACGGATCGAATGATAACGGACGGCTCGAGCTTTTAAAAAAATCATCTCTCCAGCGGTACGTCAACGTCGTCGGAGATGACTGTCATATAATGAAAACATTGGGAACGAGAGAGATAGATAGTTGAGAGAGTGAGAGAGTGAGAGGGAGAGAGAGAGAAGAGAGGCGCGCTGCGAGGGCGACAAAGAGGACTTCTGCGCCGGACAGGAAGTCATTTTCGTTGTTTTTACCGCATAGCAGCAGCAGTAGCAGTAATGGGTAACTTTACTTTGTCATCTTTTATTCGGCGCCTGTGCATGAGGGCAAGAAACGACGAAACAGTTTTCTCCAGCGGGGCGACTTTGCATGCCGTGATAGAAAGAAAAAAAGAACAGAATTACGATTCCAAGTACGTGTAAGAGCATGAACACAGGAAGCGTATCCGAGGACGCGCCTCAAGCGTTTCACGAATCGATGTACATTCATTCATACATGTCGTTCATATATCGTTATACACGCGCGAGAAAACTGAGGAAAACTAGTACACACACGCGCGCGCGCACACCCTCAGAGAGGAAGGTTTTTCCGCGACTATACTTATTGCTACCCATTGAACCGATACTGTTTTATATGAATTATTGCCTATAGGTACGCATGTCACGAGCCGAACATGAGAGAGGACAAATAGGATGAAAATATTGTACAAAATTATTATTAACGATCAATATTAATATTATTACTGTATCAATCCCAATAGTTTAATTAATTATTCAATCGTCGTTATCGTGTTAGTCAGGTATTTACGAATATTATGATATAATTGTGGTTTCCGTTTTTATACGATAGGGAAAACTGTGTGTACGCGATCGATCGATTGATTTGACACGGGAGGAGATTTTTGTTCTTTCTATGGTTCTTTCTATGGTTCTTTCTATGGTTCTTTCTATGACGAGGTAAAGAAATATAATCTTTGATTATATATCTTTACCTCGCCATTCTTTTACGAAGAGTTCTTGTGATTTAATATGATTTCACTGAAATGACGGCTTGTTCTGAGCGTAGCAATGGAATGAAAGCAATGAAATGAAAAAACGCAAATGTATTCTGAGCTTTCTTATTACGGTATTGACATCCATGTTGAAACAGACTTTGGTTTCTTTTTATCTGTATGACAATTAATTAAAAGTTTAATTACTGATAAGAAAATGATTCCTATATACATCATCTTTCAATTTTTATATATTTTTAATCATATTTATAAAATTAATAGCATTCAATATTATAAATATTATCACAAATATATAATATGACGTTATACTTTCTTATTTGACGTGAATGTATTTAGGTTGTTTAGCTATCAGTTAAACCTCGACATTGTCATAAGATTGGCTTCAATATACGTATACCTGTTTGCATTGTATTCGGTATTTGTATCTACGTGCTCTTTGTCAGATACAAATCAGTACACATTTTTGTGAAGAAAAAATAATTTTTTAGTTGGTTTTTCTTTAGGGCAATTTGGTATAGCTGAAAGTGTAAATCAATATGAAGTAAACGTGAACCGAAATGTGCACCGTTCAATTTCATTATATGATTAACTAGTGCAGTTTTATTAGAATATTATGAAATGCGGAATGAAATAGAGGACAAATTAAATTTTATTTTAAAACCAATTATAACTTACTCTGGATTGAATTATTACAAAAAGTCGACAAGGTACTGCCGTACGATAATTCATAATTTCGTGATTTCGTACATTATTTTTGTCGGGGAAAAAAGGTATATTTTATTTTACATTTTTACAAGTAAGCTTCTTTACCTGAAGCTGAAAAAGAGCTAAGAAGATAATGGTATTCCCGCTTTTAACTTACATCGATCGATCGCACACAACGATAAGCACAGGCAAGCTAGCTTTTAACATTAAAATCCGCGACAGCGTCCGATTCGTTCGCATGCGCCGTGGAAAGTGTTCCAAGAAAATTCGCGTGGCTGTTGCAAGGATTAATTTCCATGAACTGCCTGCCCACCTGCCCTTGCAAACTACGTTGCCTCGAAAAATGTGTCTAATTTATTACTGAGATGCGATATATAATGAGACGATAATTAGCAATTTCTTAGTTTAATATGACGGGATGAACAAGTCTCATATTAGTTTAATTCGATGCTAATGATCTAAAAGGGGGAAAGTATGCGTAAGAAAGTGATTAAGAATTTGTTGGTGTGTTTGTATGCGTGGTGAATGTATACTGCATGCATATGCGAATGCTGTGAATACATGGGGGATATTTACAATTAATTTTTTTTTCTTCCGCTTTTTCGTTCGCAAATTGTTATCGCTTGATTTTGAATTTTATCAAAGTGTCGTATTAGTCGTGGTCCAGAAATAAATTTCGGTTTTCTCATGATAATAGCTCAACAATTGCTCTGTAGAATACATTATTGTTTGATAATATGTAATAACATCTAATATTAGCTACAGGAATAAACATGAAAAGAAAAGATATTTGTAGGAATTATTTTTTTTATACAACTTTTTCTACTTGGACGAAAAGGTGCCGAAACTGCACACGAGTTCAACATTCGATCAACGATTAATTATTCAATTCATAGTTTAGTTGCATTGTAAAAGTCTTGCGATAATAATAAAAGTCGCAACATTGTGTTTTGACGAATTAAAAATTATTTCTCGTCGAAACAATTGTTTTTTTACGCAGAATACGGCAACTCTACGGTATATTAGAACAGACGCAAACATAAAATGCATTACGGCAACTCTACGGAATTTTAAACATCTAAACGCTATAATTATATAATAAACGCTATAACATGTATATGTATATTAAAACCTAAGAAATTTTAAGATTAAAATATATCTAAAACATTTGCAATATTTTCGCAGTTACGTTACCTGGAATTTTGATTTTATAAATTTTAATTTTCGTTAAACTCCATAAACTTCTTTAAAAATTTGTGTTTTCACTTAAAAAATACAACTCTTTTTTAGTACTTTTAAATGTACTATCGATATTCTTATACGAGATTAAAATTTAAAAATACAAGAATAATTATATTAAATATTAAATTGCCACATCTCGTAATCTGCTTTATAAACATTTGTTTTTATATTTTTCAAACAAAAAGTAAAATCTTATTTTTTATTTTTCATTTATATTATGTTTATGCGTTTTTCTAAATTAAATGAATTGCCTCAGTGGTCGAATTGGCGAGACGCCCGCCTGGAGAAATGGGAGGTCCTGGTTCAAACCCTGGCTAAGGTAATATTTTTCGCAATAAATTTTGTGTGTTAAAAAAAAACACATAGCCAGTCATGGTCTGCTTTGCTTAATCATGTATTTTGTATTCAGAATTTGATGGATTTATCATGAATTTGTCCTATAGCACACCTTGATTATAGAAACGCTATTAAAAAATTTAATAATACTAATATTTACTTCTTTTTATTTAATTAGGCACACATTTTCTTTAATAAATGAATACAGTCAAGTTTGATGATCACAATTGCACGACATTACGTGTGCAAAATTATAAAAATTATTGTATATAATTAACAATGGATCGTGTGATAAAATCAGGTACAATGAAAGGGGCTCAGAGCGTGAACAGGATCGTAATGTCCAACAAAGTTATTTTATTATCAAATGTATATGTATTAACTTAACTTAATTAAACTACAATAAGTTACTTAAAGTATGTATATGTATAAGAATCGCCCCATCTTCCAAAAAATTATCTCATGTATTAGAATCTACATAAGATGTATAGCTCAAGCTAGCAGTGTAACGTTAATTTAACCTATGGTGTACATATAGTGGTGTGTAGTCGTGTACAATGGAAAATTATAAAGTTAAGAAAAACACGTAACTGAATTTACATATAAGAATGAAACTTATTTCTAAAAAATGATAGTCTAGACTATTTTTAAGTATAATCTTAGACGGGCGAGGACTAACGACCTTGATATATAGAAATTTGAATACGTATTAAGCATTACTATTTACATACTGATCGTCAATCATGAGTAGTTGATTAACGATCGATTGATTACGAGGTCTAAAGATCTTAGGCTAATCATTAATGTCATTTTGACAGTTAATTTGTTTGAGTCGTGATTTAAGATATTTTTTTATGTGTGGTGTAGGGAAGCAATTATTTGTTAGAATATTTTTAACTAAGGATAGGCAAGTTACGTTTTAAAAATAACTAGTTACCGTAACTCGTTACAGAATGAAAAAGTAACTAGTTACCGAATAAAAAGTAACTAGTTACCGTTACTATTATTTATTTAAAAAGTAACGATTCGTTCTTTTTTTCGTTAGTTTTAATGCCACAAGGAGATAAGACTAAACAAGAAAGTACCCAGATAACATGCTTGTCTAAAAGACATCTTCAAGACTTCTTTAAAACGTCTTTAAGATATCTTTTAGACGTGTATGTCTAAAAGATGTCTAAAAGACGTGTTAAAGACATCTTAAAGATGTCTTTTAGACATGCATGTTATCTGGGTAATTTTTTCTTAAAATACAACTATAATTGTGTTAACTTTATATTTCAATGGATGGTTAGAAAATAAGTTTACATACCATCCAGAAAAAGTAGGTTTTCTGTACCGGATAGTTATTAAATTTCTATCATTTGTCGGGATAGTAGTATTCAAGAAATTGATGGAATTATTAGATTCGGTCTCGTAAGTAGCCTAGGAGTGCGAATCTTATATACATTTGATAATAAAATAATTTTATTGGATATTACGATCCTGTCCAGGTTCTAAGTCCCTTTCATTGTACCTTATTGTATATAATTATTAATATTATATCAATAAATAATTATAAGTACTTAAGTATATATAAAATAATATTCATCTCACCTCAGCCAGTGTTTGAACCTGGACTTTCCTACGCTCTAGGCGAGACGCCCTACACTGTTAATATTTAGGTTTTTGCGTCAAATGAGTGCAATTATTACAGGTCTGCACCTCTTTTATAACACCTCTTTCTATATCCACTCCGCTATGTGGCGATCGAACGAAAAACCAATGTTTTGTTTGGTCTTGAACCCGGGTTTATCAGATTCGGATTATCAGACCAGCGCACAATCCTTTGCGCCACATATAAAATAATATTAAAATATTACAAGCAAAAGGAGATGTTCGGTAATGAACCATAATTTAAATATTTTCGAAAGAAGATTTCGTAGATGCGTTTTGGCAACATAGTGCCTACATCAGCATACGCAGGAATTGGATAGTCGAACAATAAAAAAAAACTTTGTGAGACGGTTTCGTAATTAACGTACTGGTGGTAATCATTTGAATTCTCTATCAAAATTTTAAGACTCTGTCGCCTCGACGTGAAGACAGTTTGTTCCTCTTCAAATGAATAAATAGCCAGATGAACGTTACTGTATCCTTTGTCATCTTAATGTCAGTAATTGAAACGGGGCGAACAGAGCAGAACGCAAAGAGTATCTTCAATACAGATCAAACCTCAGAAAATTCAATTTTTGTGTTAAATCATGATGTTTAGTCTACAGTTGTTATTTCACGTCTCCACATATAAAATAATATAATATATATAATATATTATAATTTTATGTAGTATATTTGTATATGCAGATACTATTTTTTAATCACTTACTCTACATAAAAATTGAATTATCGGGGCACGTAATGCAATCCTCTTTCATTTTGAGAGAGTAGAATCCGCACCTAGAAATAGGTGGGTGTTAGCAAGAATTTCATCCAAGACAGACTTCAGAACCACAATATCACATATCGTTTGCTGTACCAATTCGCCCAATACTACACACCCAGTACGGGAATTCTGTAACTTGCTATCGAGGCTTCTCGGTATCGTTAACCAACAACAATCCATGAAAAGCTGTGTCTTTTTCGAAAATCCTTGCCATTGGCTGTCGCTAGTCAACGATATCGAAAAGCATCGGTATCACATCTTGGATCTTCCGTCCTCTTACATTGGGCTTTCTCCCATATCCACGCGATATGATTTCCCTTCGTAAAATATTGCTCAAATGCGAGTTTTTCTCAATAAAATTATCAATAAACACAAATAATTGTTTATGCCCTCGCATGTTGAGTATTATCGGAAAGTTGTGTCCTATTCTTACCAATCGATGTCATCTCTAAGAGGCGGGCGACCGAATCAAACCTGACAAATCCTTGCTGGGATTTGAACTCTGATCTGTGGCTTATTAATCCAGCGCACACTTCTCTGTGTCACGATATACCAAGCAATTCTCTTTCATGTAAAGTCAGATAATTATCAAAACCACTAAAAATACGCCGCAAATGTAGTAAAACAGATAAAAATCACAAATTGTTTATTATATTTTTTATAGAATTTTAATTCCTAACGAAAATATCAAAATAAAAAATAGTTTTGTCATTAAACATTTTTCTTCTATAAAAATTCTACAGTTGTCATGGGTCGCAGAAAGAGCTATAACATTTAAAACAGTAGAGACAAAAACATTATTTAAAATATCAGAGAGTTAATTTCGTTAATTAACAACTCTATTTCAATTTTTCTCTAAGCTCTACAGAAATATCGAATAGTCTTGTAGAGATAAATTTTCACAAAAGAGTTCTGTCTAAAATATCGTTTGAAACATACGAGAATTTACGTAGTCGATCCCCATTGTTTAAAAGACACTTCTCTCGCAACAGTCGTAACGTCGCTGTACTCGGAAAGAACAATGTTTCTTTTTTTGTCGAAAGATTTAAAAGAGACATAGAGATATATGGACTGCACGCGGTATATATGTGTCAATAGTAACCGCGACACGACATTCAAAGGCGTTGCGAGAGCTTCGGTATATCGGATTACTATCGATCGGAAGTCCGTGGTTGAATCTGACATGCGATGGGCGGCATCAGGGTCGAAGTTCTTTACACCCTCCTTGGTATTTGCCGGTGTTCTTCTGGCAGCGAGGTACATTTAGGGGGTGAAACACATCCGCGCTTTATCGCCCTGGTAAGTGCCTGGTGTGCCGATCTTTGATCTGTCCTTCATTAAACGGCGACATGCATCTGCAATTCAGCGAGTGGGCCAAGAAGCACGGCTCCATGTTCAGCATTCGTCTCGTCGAGTTCTCGGTTCGTCGTCGTTCTTAGTGATAGCCGCATCGTGAAACATTTCTACACGAGATACTTCATCGGCAAGCGGGTTTGTCAATTTCCTCGAGAATTACGACATCGTCAAAGTGAAGGGTGTTATGTATTTAAAACCTTAGAACTGTTTAAACCCTTCTTAGAAACCGCGGTGTTTAAATCGGCGAAGTCGATCTGCCAATTTTTCATGTGATGATCTTACTGATTTAACAACAGCAACAAATCTTTCTATAATTAACGTAGAACTCTAAAATACTGTGGGAAGCGCTTAATATAATGTTATACTTTTTTTATTTTAGAAAATGGCTAATGTTACAGTTTTTAGAAAAAGGGGTGGTTTGAACTGGTTGCAATAA